CAGATCCCTGATGCCGCTGGCCGGGCAGGTGCCTTTGCCGGCACACGCCTGCCTTACTTGCAAAGGCGAGCCTTTCGTTCTTGCATCGCGCTAAAGCTGTACTGACCAACGTGAGCGTACGCCAGCTTTTATGGTCATAAGGTGAGAGGCTAAACGCCGAATTAATTTTCAAGTTTAGATTTTAACTTGAACACCCTTTTCAGTGAGGCTGAAGGAAGGTGCTGAAAACTAAAGCCCAATGCAAAAGAATCTTCTGCTTTAGTTGGATGTTGTTACTAAACATCAGTCTTTGCTTGAAAAAAACCACTAAGCTGAACTACTATATACTGTTGTAATAGGAGAGCTTCTTCTCCATGAAAGAAAACAGAAGTGTGCTTATGCCATGTAGGTTACATCTGAAAAATTCTTAGGAAAAGTCCAATCCTTCTTTCACAGCACCATTCCTTTCCCAGTGATACAAAGCTGAAGGAAAAACTAGGGCAGGAGATGCACTAACAGACCTTTTTGCAAAACAGCTTTAAAAATATAATTGAGCAGACTGAGCTGAGGCACTAACAGCTTTAAGTTTTCTATACAAATAAAGGATTTTCGCCTCTCTGGAAAAATGATAAGCTTCCTCAGAAGATGTTTTCCATTTTCAAGTACATGACAAATGGTATCCCTCACAATAGAGCATTTTATGCCTGCAAGCAGTTTAATATTTTTCGCCTCCATAGTCGTTGCAGGTTACAGTGCTGAAACTATCACAATAACGCTTTTTTCCTGTATGTCTCAACACCTCTACTAGCACTTTATGTTAAACACTTAACATGTTGTAGAAAGACTTAAAGGAAGGACACTTGCATACATTCATTTCTGTACTGTCCCTCTAGCAACCTGCGAAGGAGAAGCGTGTAAATTGGTTAAGAATGACATAGTAGAAACTATTACCTATTTTTTCCAGTATACTTGAACGCGTAAGAAGTGTTGGGTAGGCTTGCTCACTGCCCCTCATTCAAAAGAAGTTATTTCCCAGACTTTCTTTCTATGACAGAAAAACATAAGAATTCACAGCAGCATGGAAGGGGAACGCATTTCAGAGACTTACTGAACTGTAAGAATCTGTATACAGCATTGTGGGATTACACAGCACATAAGTAAACAATGAGGCTGATTGTCTTAATTGAAAACATCTATTATCCTCAGTGTCTGGTACCAATCTTTCATAAAAAGAGACGTGTAATCTTTAAGAGAAGCTGCTGCATATTGTACAACTGGAGCACTCACAGTTATGAAAGCAGATACACATCACTGTACATTTTACTGTTCCTGAGTTCTTTGATATTTTCAAAGATACTGTCTCACGCATTACAGTCATGTGAGACTGTGCGTTTTACTGTGATTACTTTTAATAATCCAGTATAAATTCACAGCAGCAGCCTATAATCCTAGCATCCATCCCGATACTAGTTAAAGCCTAATTTGCTAGGTCATGTCTATCTGATTTGAATCTACTTAATGTTAGCTGCGGTTTAAAAACAAAACACGACTGTATCATCTTTCAGGCCAAAAGACATGACTAATCTTATCCTAATCTTTAACTCAAGAAAAAAATATTTCAAAATATTTTCAAAGTTGAAAGTTTTAAAATACTACAGTGCTTGTTTTCGCCTTTTAAGAAATATCAACGGTAACCAGCCACCAAGGCATTAATGCATTTTAAGAACCTAATATATCCAGGTTAAGTTGTAAAGTTCACTGTAACAAGAGCGTTCAGTTCAGTTAGTGTCCTCATGCAAAAACTGTGGCTATTACCTCGACACAGTCATCTGAACAATGAAGAGCGGGGAAGAATTGAAAGGGCACTGTTGGCATTATTTCATCCAGAAAGACAACTGTGTAGTAAACAGAGGACTGCGTTATGCTTTACTGGATGCAGGCCAGAGAAAGAATGCAATTAAGACTTCTCTCCTATGCAAAACATCTAAAACTTTAATACTTGTTATTCCACCTTTAAGCACTTGCACACAGTTAGCATGAATACACCTTAATGAAAATGACAACCTGGTAAAGAAAACTAGTGTTTTCAGTCCCTGATGAGAAAAGAATAGGAGGCTTGAGAAATCACAGGACATTTATAGAAGAAATCATATTTGCAACTTCAATTTATTCAACAGGAAATATCATTTTTGTAAAGATGGTGGCGTAACTACAGCAGTTTAAGTCATCTAATGAATTTAAACATACCGCCACCTTGATTTGTCTACAGTAGACATTGAAAATATGAACTTTTTTCTAACTGCTAAAAGTATCTCCATTGTTCAAATAGTAACTACAGACAGTTTGCTGAGGCTGTGTTGCTACCCCACCTGATCTATGGCTGTGGTACATTAAAACATGAATTAAACACTTACTAGTAATTAGTGCTAAGCTGAGGTAACAGGTAAGGAAAAAGGCAGCATCAACGTACTGTTACAGAATTGGCATTTGCTTATCAGAGTATAAAAACAACATACTAGTTTATTATCCTGTCTTACATTTGGGCAATGGTATAAATTAGAAAACATCAATCTGGAAAAATCTTATACTAAAGAGATACTGCCTCTAGATCCTTCAAGATGACAATCTTAGTAATCCTGTTAGTTGTTTTAAGAAATATGTACAATTTCTACAGTCTGGGGGAAAAAAGTTAACTGTTACCTCCAAAGATGCGTGAATATGTTTTCTACTATAAGCAGAGGACATATACATTTACCTGAAAAATAAAGTGGACATGGTAGAGAAGACTCAGGCAAAGGGAAAGCATTACTAATTCCATTAGTGGATTTCCGTTTGGGAGGCAGAGGAGAGAGATGATTTAAATAAGGTATCAGAACACATAGTACAACTGACAGTTCTCAAGCTGATCCCTGGTTCAATGTTCTTGCTACACAATTTCTGCAAACATTACTTTTTTTCTTAGGAATTGACAGACCTACAATCTCAGGTGTCAGCTTTACCAAACTGCTATTCAAGAAGTTCTGGAGGTGTCTGCTGTTTTCTTCCACGTGAGTTACCAGAATGATCGTTTTTCTTCTGCTCTTTCCCAGGTGCGTTTCAAAAGATACACTGCAGCATGAAGTCCTCCTACGTTCACCCATACTGTTTGACCTTTACGCCATATGTGTCCCATTCTCGACAAGGCCTACAATCACAAAAAAAAAAACCCACAGAAAAATGGACATTGGTGGTGGCTTCAACATAAGGTAATAAGGATAAATTTGCTTTGGACATTTATCATGACTGTTGGTTATCTCAAGTCATCTCTGAAGACAGAGTCTAAGGACTCTTCAGGTCTAAAACTGCGTTAAAATAAGTTGATACTACTAATTATTTCTCTAAAAATAGATCATCTTCTGTAATAAAATCAGCTTGCAATTTCTTTCTAAATATATTTTTATGTGTAAATAGGTTTGATTTACTTGTAAAGTTTTGTCTCAGATAACATACCTTGGCAAAGCATTTCTTGTCTTGTGTAAGCAGCACAGCTCTGCCTGTCCCGGGTCTGCAGATCCGGCCCATCTCCATAAGGCAGGCTGGATAGAGATCCCAATTCTTCTTCTTAGACCCTATCCTATAAAATAAATTAAGACCTCTTTGTGCTTGTGGAAAAACAGCTAACTGCAGTTGGCCTTTTGGATATGACCACTTTTACTATTCGTTTCAACCTGCACTTTTAATATAGAGTACATCAGCACTTCTTCATTAGGACCAATTGACTAACTAGAAAGAATCCTGCACATGCAAACACATACAGTAGCAGCAGCTAAGCACGGCAACTTAAAAAATGATACCTCACCTTTTTCCAAACGGCATGTCTGTCACAATAATATCCACAGAACCAGTCCGCAAAGGGAGATTGCAAATATCCCACTGAATGATATCTAAGGGTACGCCCAAGGAAGTACTGCTGCAAATGCAAAGATGTGCATCTCAGACATGGCTTACTGAGGAATATTTTTTAAATTAAGAGGTCTATAACATCAGCAAAGGAACACACAGGAAAACGTGAGCAAGGTATTCAGGTAAATGCATGCAGAATGGATTTCCTTACATACAACACTCCATGAAAAGAGAGTCACTTGTGCTCTTCTCACCTTTCCTTATTCTCATTTTTCTTTAGCAAAGAGCAGATATTGTTTGCTGCTCTCTTTACAGCTTGTGGGTTGTTATCACCAGCAATATGGTAGCAACTAGGCCATTCTGAAGCTCCCTAGGGAAAATATGATAATAAGCATCATTAACAGTGCTTAATTAAAAAGAAGACTGAATTACTCAATATGACAGAATACAACAAAGCAATTGGAAGTAGACTTCAACCATTACAAAATTCTGTAACAGATACTTGTTACAGGTACTGTGTGTCTTAAAAGCTCAAAATACTTTTGGATTTAGTTTCTTCCTGCTTTAGCTTGGGGAAGGAAGATGGAGTAGTTTACAGAAAGCATATCTGTAGCTGTGTAAAAGTGGGTGACATACCTTTGGCACTGACTACTCAATTTTTACCAAGAAAACTTACACATATTATTCAGATGCAGATACTGTCGTAAGTTTTATTAAGTTAAAAAATGAAAGAAGAATCACCTCTATTGGTATTGCACCTGTTCCACACATTGGATCAATTATGATATCTGTTGGCTGTGGATCACAGAGTCTGAGAAACACAATTAAGATGCAATGAAAAAAATTAGTCATAACAAAAACATAAATTTCTGTAAGGAAGGAAAACTAAAGAACTATTTGAATCACTAATTCTACCCTTCTCACAAAATAACTTTTTTGTAATTATTATTTCCCTTTGTTAATTAGCATTTTATATGTGCCAATACAGTGTAATACGTCTGAGAATGTCATACAGTATTTTGAAAAGTGTCTAATGGATCAAAGCAAAAATTTATTTATCTAAGTTGGAAAATATCCACTGATTATTAGTAATTACAAAACACTATTTCAGCAGCTCTGCTTTTTTTAAAAAAAGAACGATCAGAAATGGCTGTTCAGGAAGGAGCGGAGGGATAAGGGTTCTAACTTCTGAAACAAAATTACTTGTTTATTGAAAATGATGTATAATTATGCAATTACACTGACCTAAGCATGCCATAAGCAAGGGTTGATCGAAGAGTTGTGGGTCCAAAATGGGTAATATTTCTTCTGTGAAGACTCTCTTCAGTTAATGCAATGCCCACAACTACTTCGTTATTGTGAATATTCAGGAGAACCTAAAGAAAAACTTGAACTAAATTTCAGGAGTAACAAAAGTTTCCCGTACTACATCTGGTCAATGTTTGCATGAAACATAGATGGCAATTTAAAAATAGGAAGCATGTATAAAAGGTGTTGAGCATTCTTGGAAGAAAAGCAATGCAGTTTGTAATGAGGACAAAGGGCAAAATTAAGGACAGCATAGCTTTTCTCATTCACACGTTCTTTTACACAAGATTTCAAAAAACTCTTTAAACATGATGCTAACTTTTAAAAAGTTTCTTTTTTTATAAGTATGCAGTGGAAGCCCGTGGGATAAGTCTTGCAAGTCACAGTGCAGCATTCACAAAGCAGCAATAAAAGTCATATTCCTGGTTCCCTTTACCACATCAATTTGAAAGGTGAAAGCATTATTCAAGCCAGGCCCTAACAGACTTACAAGAAAAACTTTGTTTTTCTGCCCTTCAGAAGAAGACTGACAGACCACATCTGTT